TGCCCAACAATGTTCTACGAACCTTTTGTGTGGTTCCCACGGAGTGTTCTCAGAACATGTCTGGCTGAGTCTCTGTCTTGTTTTATCACATCGGGTCCATGTTCTAAGCACATTGCTCTTGTTCTCAGACCATTTTGGGGTTCGAAGAACATTCCGTGGCAGGACTGCCGGGACGGTCGGTCCCTGCTCAATTCCTGTCGTCGGCGACCACAGAGGTCACGCCAGGGTGTGGTTTGAGGTCGGGCACGTCCCCCTGTATTTTTTATCTTTCGTCCAGAATGCGCCTGTAGGGGGACATGCCCGACCGACGACTGCACAGGGTGTTGTCACGCCGGGGTGTGGTTTGCGATCGGCGCCGGCGGGGCCTGGGCCTGGGGGGCACGACACACTGCCCTTCTCGGGCGTCCGTGGGGCGCGGCGGAAAACCCTATCGAGGTCCCCGCCCGTCCCCTAGGGTGACACCCTTTGCACACCACGCCCTTTGCAGGTGCAAGCCACACGCTTTGCAAGCCACACCCTTCGGAGTCATATCGAGGTCCCCGCCCGGCCCCCAGGGTGATCCACTTTGCACGCCACACCCTTGGCAGTTGCAAGCCACACCCTTTGCAAGCCACACACCCGTCGGAGTCGCCGAGTCCTGTCTGTCGTCGACTGCAGCAGAGGGAGAGCCCTTTTTACCAGCGCAGGCGGGGCCCAACTGCGCGACACGCCAGACGAGCGACGGACGACCGAGGAACTGCCGGAGGCGGCGCGGGGGAGGGGAGGGCGGTCCCGGGGGGGGGGAAGGGAGGGCCCTGGGGGGGCGCTCGCGCCCAGCGCGGCCCCGCTCAGGCCCAAGGCGCATGGGCGGCATGCCGCCGCGCGCCGGCTAAGGTCAGTCTTTGTTCCTGGGCAGCCTTGAGACGTGGTCAATGCAAACGGGGGTCAGCTAGAGCGCCCGATCTTGCAGCATACTGCAGAGCCAGGGTCGCATTGACCCAGGTTTGGGTGCAGGATCCTGCAGGGTCTTGCAGGATCCTTCGCGTTGACCCGGGTTTGGGCGCAGGTGCTTGCAGGACTCTGCAAGGCCTGACCGGCCCGTGTTTGGATCGACCCGGGTCAGAAGATCCCCGAGTTCCCCCGATCGGACCTGCAGGTGGCGCACTCCATCCAGAGTCCTCGTCTTCGGCTCGCCTCGCCTGTGGCGGATGCGGTGGAAGGCGGGCGGAAGCCAGCAGAGATTCAGGAGGGAAAAAAACACACAGACACAATTAATCGTCCACTCCAAGGAAAATATGGGAATTGGGGGGGAAGACAAAAACCCAGAAAATATGAGAAAATATGGGGACTATTTTTATTTGTGTGTATTTATTTGTGTGTCCTAATTTCCCTTTAGAGATTCTCGTCGCTCTGCGCTTTCTCGTCGCTCTGCGCTCTCGTCGCTCTGCGCTTTCTCGAGGTTGCGCCGTGTTTACGGTTGGTTTTCGGACGGGCCCGACGCCAAGACATCCGATCGATTGCTCTAGGGTGTTGCGCTGGTAAAAAAAGGTAACACGGCGACGGGCCTCCTCCTCCTCCTCCTCCTCCTCCTCCTCCTCCTCCTCCTCCTCCTCCACCTCCTCCTCTTCTTCCCCCTCTTCCTCCTCCTCCCCCTCCTCCTCCTCCTCCTCCTCCTCCTCCTCCTCCTCCTCATCCTCCTCCTCATCCTCCTCGGAAGGCTGGCGGAGGGCGGCGAAGGTGCAGGGGCGACGCCTCGGCTCCTGTGGGCCCAGGACTGCCAGCATCGCCGCAACATGGAGGCCGCTCCCGGGCCCCGGGGCCAGGAAGACAGGAAGCAGGAGGGGACAAAAACGCACAGACACAATGGATCGTCGATTCGCAGGGAAATATGTGGGGAAACTATGGGACGTGGGGGGGGGAAGGCAGAAACCCAGAACATATGGGAACAGATGGGGAATCTTCTTATTTGTGTGTATTTATTTGTGTGTCCTGGGGCCCCTTTAAAGAAGCGGGCCCCAGAAGCGTCGGAGGCCGGGGCCGTGGTCGTGGTTGGGTCGGGTCGTCCTGGAGGCAGTCTTGGCCGGGGCGGCCCCTCAGCAGGCTCCCGGGGGTGGTCTCAGACAGTCTCGACCCCCCATTTTGGGGGCGCGGCGCCCCATGAGGCGCCGACTTGTTCAGACCGCCTTAGGCTACCAATGTGCCTCTGGGAGCTGCCTGGCGCAGTCCTCGACTGGTAAGTCATGGGTGAGATTTCCTCCAGCTGGGGTGTCTTTCCCCCCTTTCGCCCGCCCCCGCTCGCGGAGCGAGGGTGCCCTGGGAAAACCGCGCGAGGCCGCGGAAGCCGGAGCAGGTGTCTGCGGGCGGCGTCCTGGCGTCCGCAAGCGCTCTTCGCCTGTGCAGCGGTCAGGAGCTGCTGCCTATGCCTATAGGGTTTCGCTCGCTCGCCAAGTCCTGAGCGACCACGCCGCCAGCCCTCGGTCGGGCACGTTCCTGTACAGGAGGAAGATTCACAGATCATCCAAACATTGTCTGGGGACGATGTTTCGATTACGCTTGATCAATTTACGGGTTTGGTTTGACTGCTTTTCATTCTTCTTGCAAAATCCGCCTGTGGGAGGACATGCCCGACCTAACGCCAGCCTTTCCCAGCCTCCCCTTCCTCGAACAACAAAATCGCCACAAACATAAACTTTGGGCGCTCCGCGCGGATATCTTGGATCGGCGCCTGGGCCCCCTTGGCGGCGCCTCCGGCGCCGCCTCTGGCGCGCTCCGCGCGCCAGGGAGGGCCCCCCGGCGCAAATCCAAGAAATCCGCGCGGAGCGCCAACAGCTTAATTATGTGTGTGCTGTTTTTTCTTCCGCGGAACGAAGCGGCACGCTATCCGCTCGCGTGGCAGAGCGTGTCGCCGGGGACGCCGCCGCGACACTTTTTGATTTGCGGCCCGCAAGGAAAAGTCCAGAGGGCGTGTCAATAGGCAACGGGGCGCAACGCCAGATAATTAGGGATGCAGAAGACCACTGGGCGAATGCCAGCGGAAGCCAACGAGGAGACGCTCTGACGCCGCGACACGCGAAGCAGGCGTCCTCGACCGCACCGCATCGGTGGCAGCGCTGGGGGGGTGACAGGCAGGCTCCGAGGGGGGGGGGGCGACGGGCTCGCGGCCTCGTCGCCTGCGGGCGTTCTCGTCGGACGTCGGCGGCCGCATCGACCCCACACGGACCACTCATCGCCGAGCGGGGTCTGCCAGCCCACCCCGCCCAAGAGCGTCAGGTTCCGCCGTCGGGGGGCCATCGCCGATCCATCGGCGATGCATCGCCGGTTCCAGCTCGACGTCCCCCCGCAGGCGATGGCTCGCGCTGAACCCCACGGCGTCCTCCGAGAAGTCGGGCTGCTCAGAGATGGAGGGGAACTCCCGGAGATACGCCCATAAACTGGGCATCGCTCGGACGTGTGTGCGGTGGATGCGTTGGTTGAGGAAGAGTCCCAGGAGGCGCCAGACCCTGGAACATTCCTTTTCCAATGGGGGCGGCGGTGATATCCATGGCCGATCCACGATTGGAGGTCCACTGGCTTTGATTCCTTATCGAACGTTTCCGTATCCAATGCCCCCACCGTATTTTTGTTCCCCCGGCGAGGACCGTCGAGGAGCATCTCGGGTCCTTTTGCGAGCAAGTATCAGCACGACGCCGACAAGAATGCACGGGGGAATGGGCGTCCGAGCGCCGGCACGCGGAGATACACCCGTGAAGGAAGGGGCTGGCCTTAAGTCTTAGTCATAAAATATCAGGGGACAAATTTGATGTATGTTTAAATGCACATCTATACATATGTCTAAGTATATGTATGATCATTTCTGAGCATGTTTTGTCTACGTTTAAGTTTTCCTCGAAGCTCGGCCCGTAGTGGGACAGGCCCGACCTAAGGCTGGTCCGACGCGCCCCCTAGCGAGGGGTGGCGGCTCCCCTCGGTCTATCGTCGAGTTGGGCCTCAAGATCTAGGAGGGAAAGGCATCGAACAGACGCACGTAAACGTCGATTCCCAGGAAGAAATTGGCAAACATAGGAAGTGGTGGGCAGGGCGAAAACCCATACGATATGGAACCATGTGTGGGATCCTGGGATTCGTGTCTGTTTATGTGTGTGTCCCTGGGCCCCATCCAGCTTGTTTTGCACGCTCGTCCAATACCATGCCCCCCATCACAGGAAGGCGCGGACTTGGTCCTGCCATGCATCCGGCGCCTCGAAGAGATCGAGGGGGCAGGTTGGTTGTCGATCGTGTTGCCTGTTGGAGTGCGTCTTCGGGCCCTGGGGGCCGTCGAAGAACGATTCGGGACGAACCCGCCGTGGGGAAGGGGTCGAGAGGTTCGGGGGACCGTGCATCAATGACACTGGCGCGCCGCATGTCTGGGCCGGGGTGTGCTCCGGCTGGAATATCGAGGCGCTTCTAGCCGTGGCGAAGAGAAATCTCTTGGAGGCCCAGAGTGCGCACAAGACATGAAAATTTGGACCTTCCTTCTCCTCGTCCTCCGCCTCCTCCTCCTCCTCCTCCTTCTCCTCCTCCTCCTCCTGGAAGTTGTACGTGAATGATCTATGCGCGCTCGTAATTAGTTTTTCGGCTCAAAAGCATGAGGCCAGAGATTGGCGTCGGTCTCCTCATTGTTGGGCTTGCGAGGGAGGTCAGCTCGCTAGCTTCACTTCCCAGTCGACACCAGTGCTCAGATAGTTTCTGTGATTGCCGTCTGGTTTCGGAGTGTCCGAGGACGGCCGACTGTGTGTGTCCGCTCACGCACGTGCGGCAGCCCGTGTGCGGGAGCCGCCCGATTTCTTCGCCAGGACGTGCTTCGTTACCTCTCGGACGCGGACGTTTCCCTTGCCAATACTGGCCTCTTGGAGGTGTTACTCGGAGCAGCGGCTGGCGGTCTACTCTCTCGGCTTTGCGGTCCTCGTCGTGTTGCTGCCTCTCTTCGTGGAGGGCTCGGTCTCATCGAACAGTGATGGCGGGGGTCGCGTTAGCGTCGCCAGGAGGCTATGACATCTACTGGTACGAGGGGTGCTTCTACAGGCATGGTTGGAAGTCTCTGGATGACAAAAGTATCTGGGAGGGGCCCGCACCTGTTTTCTATGTCTGCGTGAAGGGGTGGACAGCTACTGGAGATCGCGGGCCGATCAGAGTTGAGGTGGAACCCTGGGACAAGTTCTCGGATCTGAAGGCCAAGGTGTCGCAGGTCACCGAGTTCGATGGGCTCAAGGAGACGTCGCACGATAGAGTGCAGGGCGACCATTTCGCGAGGTGCGTTAGCCGCGGCTTCGCCAACTTTGGTTCGGTCGTCGCGGCGGTCGAGTGTTTCAAGGTGTATGGTTTCGACGGCTACTTCGCGGGCCGCAAGCTCCCGCTCTTGGCGGGCCTGGGTGCTACTCACACGCTCGACGATCGTGATGGAGGCCCTGGCTCGCCAGCGAGGCGCTACGCCCTGCTGGGGGACTTCGCGGGCCTGCAGCTCCCTGGAACAGGTGAGGAGCCTGGCAAGACGGGGGAAGAGGACGCGAGCACGCTTGCGGAGAAGTCCAATGTTTTCACCCGCAGGGCGCGCGTCTGGATGGTCTCGGTCAAGGAGATGGTTGAGGACACCTTCTTGGTCAGTTCCGTGAATGATGTTCGTGCTCTCTTATGGTTGAGGGCATCGCGGGTCCAGCTGGGAATGGCGCCCACGTTCTGGTTCGCTTGCCATCACCTGGCGGCGGATTGGTGTGAGAACGATCGCTCTTCTCGAGAGGTTCGGTATATGGCGGGGGTGTTCGAGCTGGCCGCCTCGCGCGAGAGTTCGGGGCGGAGAGGGTAGTCTGTGCCAGAGGCTCATGGTAAGGACCCAATTATCCCGATCTACGAGATGGCCGACAAGTTCTTGTGCTACAATCGCCTACGTCAGCCTGCGGCGCCTGCGCCCTGCACCTACGTGGCCAAGTTGGTACGAGAGTGGGCGGAGATCGGCAGGCATATCTGCAAGGCCGAGGCTCTGAGGGACAATGCGGAGGTCGCCCTCGAGCGCGGCATGACCGCAGGGAAGGGCAAGGACCATGAGGAGGGCAAGGATGAGTGACGCCTCCACCCTTGCCAGCAATACCAGAGATAGCGTTTGTCGCAGTCGCCGCGCGGTAGGCACGTTGACAGGCGAGAGTGATGTGCAGGGAGCACGACGGGTGCCACTGTTTCCGCTCGAGTTTTGTAACTACTCGGCTCCTTCGCCGACGCGTCTCTCGAGGAGGGGCAGGCGGGGGGTCAACCTCAGGAGCCATCAACCGCGTGAGTTCGGGGAGGTCCTGACGGGCCTCAACTGGTTGTATCGCCGAGCTTCGAGCCCACTCGTTCGCCAAGAAGTGGTGAGTGAGATACACGATTTTGTTGCGGGCCGGGTTGCCCAACAGCCGCCTGTGCCGCCTTTTTTTGAGCAAGGAGGGGGCCGTGCGCGAGCTCCTCCAGAGCAAGTGTGGGTACGACCACGCAGCCTCCACTGTCGTCGAGTTCGATCGAACCCTTGTCTCGCTGCCCGAGGGGGTCCAGGACAGAAAGCTACTTCAGGACTTGGTCTCCCAGGAGGACAGGGGGGCGCTGGTGAACTTCAAGGAGAGCATGATGAGAGATGTGAAGGAAGTGATGCAGATGAGAGACTATGGCGAGTGTATTAGCCCTTAGTTTGATCAGAAGCTTCGCACTCGACGGCACGAGTACGTTCGTTTTTTTCAAGATGTTGCACAGGCGTGGTCTGATTAGGTGGTCGACTACGCCCAAAGAGATTGTCACCCCGTTTTTCGTTCGGAAAAAGGATGGGAGACAGCGACTTATCATCGATGCGAGGCGCACTAATCAGCTCTTCCGAGATCCTCCTAGTACTCTGTTGGCCACGCCCGAGAGTTTCGCCCGCTTGGAGGTGGAGGAAGGTGTTGAGCTGTATGAGGCCTCTCTCGACGTGGACAACTGCTTTCACAGGATAGGTATAGACAGCGATTTGGGCGATTTCTTTTGCCTGCCCCCCGTTCGAGCACGAGAGCTAGGGCTGGCACATGTTCGGGGGCGGGAGATTCCTGGAGACGGGCTTGCGTGGGCCGCCATGGCCGTGCTCCCCATGGGCTTTTCTTGGTCAGTCTTCTGGGCCCAGCGTATCAATACTCGCTTGGTAAGGGAGGCAGCTGGGATGGAAAGCTCAGTGGCGGTGGAGGACAGGGGGGGCGGCCTCGTCATAGGTAAGAACTCCGCGCCCGTCTTTTACGTGTATGTGGACAACGTGGGGGTCTTGGGAGTTGACAGGAAAGAGGTCCAGAAGTCCCTGGATAACATCAGAAACGTCCTTAACGCGAACAAGATGCAGTGCCGCGAAGTTCAGGAGGCTGGGCAGGTTAGGGATGCTCTTGGGATCGAGTTCAACGGAAAGCTAAAGTGTTTCAGGCCTCCGGGAAAGCGATATTGGAAGATTCGTTTGAGTCTGGAGGCGTTTCTGGAGGCGCCCAAGGTAACTGGAAAAGCTTTCGAGGTGCTTCTGGGACATTGTGCCTACCTCGCTATGCTACAGCGCCCTCTACTCTCCTGCTTCGCCTCTGTCTACAAGTTCGCTCGAAGGTACCGTCACTCTTGGGCCCCACTGTGGGCGACTGCGCGAGAAGAGCTCGAGGCGAGCCTCTACCTCATGCCTCTTATCCGCTCGGACTGGTCCCGGGGCTGGCTTGGGAATGTGTTAACGTACGATTCCTGTCCCGAGGGTGCGGGGGCTTGTGTTGCTACTAGGTCTTCTGCCTGGGCTGCCGCTCAGGGGAGAGTCCAAGAGAGAGCTAGATTTGTCCGTCGTGACGCTGCGCAGGCTCGTGGGCACGCGCTTTCTTGCCTCGACCCTGATGACCCGCTTGCGTTCGTGACGCCACCGCCGTCTCTCGAGGGCGTCTCGGAGCTCTGGGAGCAAGATTCTTCGTTTCCCGAGATACCGCTCGAGGGGCTTGTGGGGAAAGACTGGAAGGCGCTTTTCTGTCATTCCTGGAAAAGAACGGTGACTGTACATGAAGGAGAAGCCAGAGCGGGAGTCCTTGGGATCGCTAACGTCGCTCTGGGACCTGGAGTTCATAGTTGTCGCCTTCTGGCTCTTGGGGGTAACCTCGGAGTCACGCTCAGCTTTGCGAGATCCAGGGCACGTGCTTTTCCGCTTCTGGTCCAGGTTCGGCGAGCGTCGGCGCTGTCGTTGTCCCGTAACCTTTTCGTGTGATTCAGGTGGGTCCCGAGTGGGTTCAGCAGCTCCGACAAGCCTTCGAGGGACCCTGGTCTGCGGCGAGGGGATGCAGTCGAGTTGAGTGTTACGCCTGATATATGTCGTCTCGCTCGAGACCAGCAGGGCCCCGTAGCCGTTTCGGCCAGAAATGAAGTCCCACAATGCTCTACTTCTGTATTGGATTGGGCTCGTCATGTCCTTGGTGAGGAAGGCGAGGGGAGCAGCGATGACGGACGAGAGAGAAGTTCAGGCGCCTCGTTGGCAGACGGACCCTTGGCCACCAGGAAAGAGGTGGCGAGCTACTCTACAACGGGGTCGCGATCGCCCCCCCCCGCCAGCCCTGTCGGACGAGGCGGAGGAGAGGGCCAACCGTCTGGGGGATTCGGGCGGCACGACCTCGGAGGAGGATGGCAACCCGCTCGTGCAAGTGCGCATGCTGGAGTGCGAGCCCCACCATGCGAGGATGGCAAAGGAGCCAGGTACGCAGCACGTTTTGGTTCCAGGACGAAGCTCGGCAGGAGAACGAACCTGGACACAACATCGAGAGTCATATCAAAGCCTGGTCGCATACGTCGACGATTACAGGCTGAACGCCGACAGAGTGCAGGACTTCAATGTGGCCACCTTCGACTTCATGACCCACAGGTATATGCTGGGCTACGACGCGGGCATCGGCCAGAAGTTAATCGAGGCCTGTTTGTTCTACCAACCTCGTTTCGGCGGCCCTGCCCCGCCAACGATGGGGGTCGACTCCACGTGGCGCGGGCGCGCGCACAGGTCAGACCTCCACCAGGGCTCGAAGCTTAAGAACCAAAGCAGTTCTATCTTGTGGAAAGCTCCGTGTTTTGACTGTATGGCCAATTTTCTTCAGATTCTAGCCGTCGTGACAGATGACAGCTTGTGGCATTTTACTCATCGTGAAAGTGTGGGATTTTGTATGCAAGGCCGACCGCTCGGCCAGGACATGGTGAATTACCAGGTACGCCATGCAGGTTCTTCCTGGACATATATCGAAAGCAGCGCAACCGTTACTGTGTGCAACGTCGGGGTTTTTGGATGTTTACCAAAAGAGGTGCAGCGCTGTAAGAAGTCATGCGTGATAATGATAAAAGACTACGCTCGGCTTCTTTTGGCGCTGCACTGCTGTTTGGAGGAGCAGTTGAACACGCTGTTTTAATTATTTTTTTTTTTTTTTTTAAAAAAAAAAAAAAAAAAAAAAAAAAAAAAAAAAAAAAAAAAAAAAAAAAAAAAAAAAAAAAAAAAAAAAAAAAAAACTAGACTCTGTGAGGCCGCGCAGTGCTGCCGCTGCCGCCGCTCTCTTGCAGTGCCCGTGCCAAGCGTGTACTGCGCCTCCCAACACAGCTGAATAGGTGACACATCATGTTATGGGTGATATGGGTGAGATTTGAGCCGCCGTGCATCTGCTTACCCACACTCGTGTGCAGTCAGACTCCTGACGGCTCTGGCATCAGACGCTAGGAAACTGAGAAACAGAGCGCGGGGGGGATCATGGAAGTTGTACGTGAATGGTCTATGTGCGCTCGTAATTAGTTGTTCGGCTCCCCGTGGCCTAACCCAAGCCATTATTTTCATTCCTTCATATCGGGTGAGATTTGAGCCGCCGTGCATCTGCTTACCCACGCTCGTGTGCAGTCAGACTCCTGGCGGCTCTGGCATCAGACACTAGGAAACTGAGAAACAGAGCGCGGGGGGGATCATCTTTCTCCTCATTCCTGCTCCTGTGCCCAATGTCTGCCCCTTGTCTAATCTCGCCACCACTCGCCTGCGACTGGAGCGACAGGGCGGCTCTCTCCTCCTCCTCCTCCTCCTCCTCCTCCTCCTCCTCCTCCTCCTCCTCCTCCTCCTCCTCCTCCTCCTCCTCTTCCTCCTCCTCCTCCTCCTCCTCCTCCTCCTCCTCCTCCTTTCCTCCTACCCCTCCTGGTCCCACTGCCCTCCTCCCTCCCCCTTCCTTACCTTTCCTTATGGAGAACTCCTTCCCGTCACACCCCGAGGCCAGTCGGAAGGGAGTGCCGCTTGAGACACCCTTACCAGCCATGAGCCTGAAGTCGAATACCTGGCAAAAGTTTCACATATTGGGGGCGGGTCGCTTCCAACATCTGGGTCTCGCCTTCTCTCCGCGCACGTTCGTTTTACCAATGTGCAACATCTTCACGGGTTGATGGCGGTTCCTTTTCAAAATATCGTGTTCGCCACTAGCGCCGCGCAGGTTCGTTTCAACAGCTTGCAGTAGCTTCATTCGTTCCCATGGTCAAATTCCAGAAGTGGTGTTGTGGAGCGACTCAGGGCTGTCAGGGTGCAATACTTACGTCCAGTCGCGGTGTTGAAGTCCCAGGGAGGGTGTTCTGGCACGATTCGGGGTCGTCAAGACGCAACAGTTAGTTTGACCCGTGGCGTTGATGTCATGGGAATTGTGTTTTGGCGCGCTTCAGGGTTTCCACACAGTTGACCGACCCCCAACGGGGCACTTTCTTCAGTGGAGACGAGCCCGTGCAGTGCCACATGAAGGAGATGGAAGAGAGGGTGTATTCCAACATCTTTGGGGTGCACTGGTCCGTCCGTCCTCCTCCTCCTCCTCCTCCTCCTCCTCCTCCTCCTCCCCTGACGCCTTTTCCAGCACACAGGCCCCATCGTCGTGTAGCTCCTCCTGGTCCCTCACCCTCATTTCTAGTCGTCATTATCAGCCTTTTCCCCAGGCAGCTGGACGATCGAAGCATCGCGACGGCAGGGTTTTGCCATGGTGCGCATTTGGAGGCCAGTGCCGTGCCCTAGTGCTATCAAATGGCCAGTGCCGTGCCCTAGTGCTATCAAATGGCTACTCGGATTGTTCAGCCAGCCCGAGGGTTTTGGCCGAGAAGGCTCGGGGAACAGGTCTTGCTCAGTACAATATCGCCAGATGTCTGGGTCCTTCCTCCTCATCCCTCCTCTGTCGTCTTCCTGGACTTCCTCCTTCTCCTCCTCCTCCTCCTTTTGCCCCCCCTCCCCTCTCTACGCCCCAGGGCAAAAAGGGGAAGAAAGATAAGGATGGCAAGGACGCCAAGGGCAAAGGCAAGGGCAAGAAGGGCAAAAAAGAGGACGTGGCGATCGCGCCTTCGCTGTCGGGCTTTGTCGAGGCTGACAGATGCAATGCAGCTCGCCCTTGGGTTGGCAGGGGGGTGCGAGGAGGAGGAGGAGGAGGAGGAGACGGATAATGAAATGCTGGTGATGGTGATGATGATGCTGATGCTGATGATGACGCTGCTGATGATGATGATGATGATGACGATGATGATGATGATCATGATGATGATGATGCTGATGATGATGATGATGATGATGATGATGATGGTGATTATCATGATCACGATCATGATCATGATCATGGTAAGGATGTGGAGCTCGGCAACAGCTAGAAAGGTGCCACGGCAGTCGGCATGCATCAATACACAATTCCATATTGGTCAGGGGTCGAGGTCTTCGTGTGGGGGGGGGGGCGGCACGGCATGCCGACGGCGCTCCCGCGCCCGAGCTCCGAGAGAAACTCAGCCTCCTCGTCCTCCTCCTCCTCCTCCTCCTCCTCCTAATCCTCCTCCTCCTCCTCCTCCTCCTCCTCCTCCTTCTCCTCCTCCTCATCCTCCTCCTCCTCTTCCTAATCCTCCTCCTCCTCCTCCTCCTCCTCCTCTTCCTCCTCCTCCTCCTAATCGAGCCCCCCTCTGTCCTCCTCCTCCTGGAGGACAGAGGGGGGCCCTGCTCGAGCGGGGTGCATTCCAGCCAAGACGATATCCTGCCATGGTCGAGCTGCTTGCTGTCTCCAGTCTGGGCCACTTGCCAGTCAGAGCACTTCCAGAGAGTCCGGCACAGCTCGACACAACCACCTTCAGCAAACGTCCTGTCGGGCCCTCTGGAGTTCGACCTACCTGAGCATCCTTCTTTTCTTGGCATACTCATCGGCGGCCTTGCTGCCAAGGACCTCCCGGCGACTGAGCTTGCCGTGATCAGCATCACGGGCACAGCAACGGGCAGGCACCTCGTGCCAGGGGGCGCCCTCGAGTTTGCCACGAACGTGCTTCCGCACGTGGCACCGGGCGTTGCCGGGCGAACCGCCAGGATGAGATCCGAGCCATGTCCCAGGGCCCCTATGCACAGCCCCCCTACCGGCGGACCCCTCGGAAAACGTCGGCGTGGCGCACGAGTTTCACAACCGCACAACAGCCAGCACCAGCGACCCGAGAGGCCTCCTCGCGAGGGCCCCTCGACGTCGCGCCTCGACGTCGCTCCCGGGAGCGAACATCGAGGGGCCCGCGACCCCAGATCGCCTGGGCGCGAGCAACTTCCCCTACACATTGTTCATGTCTAATCATTCGAAAATTCTTGGATTTTTGGGGGGCCAAGATCCCTTCATGTCTAATTGTTCTATCCTGGGTCTCGTCCTGGCCACTGAGGGGCCAGGAACAATTAGAAACGAGCACAATCAGAAATGGGCAAGATTAGAAGTGAACGACGTGTACCCCTTCGCCACAATCGCCGCCCACTCCGCCGACCCATTCCTGGGATGCGCTGGAGCACGAGCCATCAGAGCAGATGTGTGTCTCGGCCTCGAGCGCCTGACCTTTCGCAGGCCAGTCGAGCCTGCACGCGGTGGCGCCAGCGGGCTCCAGAGAGCGAGCGAACCGGCAGGCGGGGTCTTGAAGAGAACGCATATGGCAAGCAAGTCCGGGGCCCTGGGCGAACGAACAAGAATAAGAAGGACGCTGTCCGCAGCCTCCTGGAGGTCAGAGCAGAGGGTGTCGCGACGCCACAGGGCTTCAGCTGGGCAACCTAAGCGGCGAGGGACCATGCTGCCTGAGGCCGCCCGTCATGGCAAACAGTCGAGCGAGATGTCTTGACAGGGATCAGCAAGTCGTTGTTGGCACCAGTCTCCACTGGCTGTCAGACTGCGCAAGCAATGGCGGCAATGATCGGTTCAGACCGACGGTTGACGAGACATCAGGTCCAGGGTGGTCTGTTTGAGGCAGATGGGACCCCGCCTCTCAGAGCCAACATGACTTTCCATAATCGGCTCTTCGAGCACAATGGCCTCCCGCTTCGCGCACACGCAACGCAAAACGGGCTGGAGACAGCCCATAGACGTTCCAGAAACGGCCCATTCGGTGGATGAAGACTTCCTGAGGGACATCAAGCTTGGAACCAATCCTGCCGAGAGTGAGCACAAGCCCCGCCACGGCTTGCTTGGCGGAGATCCAGGGCTTCGCGAACACATCTTGACGGCGTCCGACGTCGCGGTACCGAGAGGGTCTCTCTGAGGAGGTCATGCAGAGGTGAAAGGTGAGCCACAAGGATGGCCCACGTTGGAGAGGACCAGAAGATCAGGCTCAGGCAACCCCAGGAGTCCTGTCCTGAGGGCTTAGTTGCCGAGACCCGTGATGGGCGCCCCCCAGGTGGCCTTAGCGATTAGCCCAGACTTGTGCGCCCGAGAGGCCTCCCTCTCCATCCCGACCTTGGTGAGCCAAGCCGCTTCGGCCGACGAGGCCGGCCGGCGCTTGTTTGCGGGAGCTCTGGACGCGCAAGGCCATCAGAAGCGTCCCCTCCCAGCTCGCTGTGGGTGCTGGCAAGGCTAAAGGTGCCGAGGAGGAGGTGGAATATGAGCAGGAGATGAGGAGGATGAGGAGGAGGGGAAGGAGGAGGAGGAGGACGAGGACGAGGACGAGGACGAGGAGGAGGAGGAGGAGGAGGAGGAGGAGGAGGAGGAGGAGGAGAAGAAGGAGGAGGAGGAGAAGAAGGAGGAGGAGGAGAAGAAGGAGGAGGAGGAGGAGGGGGAGGACAGGAGGAGCAGGAGGAAGAGGAGGTGGAAGGCAAGGATGATCGGCTTGGCAGCCAGGACGGAGGAGATTGAGCAGAGCCAGGACGAGGAGATTGAGCAGCAGGGCAGGACGCCCAGGAGGAGCAGGAGCGCGGGAGCAGGACCCAGGACGTGGCATTGCGATGGCCAGGTTAGGGGGGAGGAGAAGGAGGAGGAGGAGGAGGAGGAGGAGGAGGAGGAGGAGGAGGGAGGAGGAGGGAGGAGGAGAGAGGAGGATGGCAGAGGAGCAGGAGGAGGAGGAGGAGGAGGAGGAGGGTTTGCAGTGTGGCGCGGAGGGGGCCCGCACGCCCGGCGCTCCGCCGCGCGAGAGCTCGGAGGCACGTGCGCGGCCAGCGCGCACGCTCCAGCCTGGGCTCTCGGGAACGCCCCTCGCGGATGAGCTCCCACTGCAGGAGTAGAGAGGAAGGTATCGTGTGGTCGAGCTCCTACTGTAGGAGCAGGGAGAGGAGGAGGAGGAGGAGGAGGAGGAGGAGGAGGAGGAGGAGGAGGAGGAGGAGGAGGAGGAGGAGGAGGAGGAGGAGGAGGAGGAGGAGGAGGAGGAGGAGGAGGAGGGGAGGAGGAGGAGGAGGAGGAGGAGGGGAGGAGAGCGGAGGGGGAGGAGGAGGGGGAGGAGGAGGGGGAGGAGGAGGAGCAGCAGCATGGGCAGAAGCAGGAGTAGGGTGGGGAGAGCGAGAGGGAGAGATGGAGGAGGAGGGCAATGAGATGTTGACGATGGTGCTCGTGATTGTGACAGCGCCGCTTCACCTCGGCAGCGGCCAGAGCTAATGGGGCCGTCCATCCCCTTAATGGCTGACGCTACCGACGTTCGCTAGTTGTACCTCCCCTACCTCCTCATTCTCCCCGTCCTCTTCTCAGCTTCCGTCGGAGGACCCCAGGGACATCCCGCCAGAGAAGGTCGGCGAGGGCGAGACTTGGGAGGTGTCGCGGCATAAGACCGGCCTGTGCTTGCTGGGCGAACTGGCGCCAGGAGGGGACCTGCACACCGTCCTCATCATCGTAGCCTTGCTCCTCTTTTCCTCGTCGCCTCATCTCCCCTATCCTTCTTTTCTCCGTCGTCAGGCCTCCTGCTTGTCCCTTCCCTCTTCTCTCGCGGCCTCCTAATCTTCGTCGTCCCTCATCCTCCTCCTGCTCATCTTCATACCTTCTCTCCTGGTTTTCCTCCGTCTCCTACCCCATTCTCCTCCTCATCCTCCTTCTCCTCCTCCTCCTCCTCCTCCTTGTTTCCCCCTTCTCTTTGGTTCTCCTTCGTTCTTCTGCTATCAGAGTCATGTTCTCTCCCCGGATGATGTGAGAGTGGGCCACTGGTTCACATGGATTGCCTAACCATTGCTTTGCACTGAAGTGGTCCCAGTGAAGGTCGAATGAGTCGGCAAGTGTGCGGCGCAGATTTCGGTAGGCGGCCCGGTTCCCGACGGCCTTGATCCGAGTTCTGGGCGGGCTTCGGTGGGTGGCCAGGGCCTCGGGTTTGCTGACACGGGTCCAGAGTTCCCTGCGTTGTGAGGTTCCCAGGTGTTTGAGCTCTTGGTTGCGGCCAAGTAGCCAGGTCCTTACGACCACGACAGTAATCATACAGGAGGAAGTACAGGTTGAAGGCCTCCACCTCCCTTGAAGCCTCGTCCGGCTTAGAAACGCAAGCAAGGTGTGGAAGGTCATGAGGGAAGTTGGCTTGCGCTGGCGAAGATGTTGGATTGCACGTCAGGATGTAGCAGGATGCGCGGGCGTTGGGAAAGTGGCGAGTGCGCGTGGGAGCGTGGAAGCAGGATGGCACATGGGAGCAGTTGAATGGACGTCGGGAAGGCTTATTACTTGTCATAAGCGAGATGGGACGGAGGTGAGCAAGCTGGGAAGGCCATGAACAAGTCAGGAGTGGCATGTGGAAGTTGGGACGGACATGAGGAAGCCTGGGAGGACGAGGCGAGGGCGCGAGGATATTAGGAAGGACATGGAGGAGCTCATGATGATACGTGGGAGGGGGAACATGGTTCGTGCGGGAGTTCAGGCGCGGCGCGGGGAGGCCTGGATAAATGACAGTAGAAGGTGCGATGGCTCGGGGGATGATTTAGATGGCGCGGGCATTTGGGGACAAGAATTGGAGCGTGGAGGGAGGGGTGAGGCTGTGGTCGATTGGCGCGGGGAGTGTCGTAAGGAGTGGACGCGCCCGAAAGGCGGATGAGTGTGTGAAAATGCGCAACTGGCAAAATGCAGTTTCGAGGACCAACGGACGCACCGGGAGTGTGGAGCTCATCGGGGTCAAGGAGGGGTCCCGTTACGATGCGATCGGGTTTCGATGTATAGCTGGTTCGACTCAGTTTTTCATTCCCCGATCCGAGTCAATGTCCCGCTGGGGCTCCCGATTCCGATTCGACCTGGGGCTCGCGGTTCCGATTCCGCCCCGTAACTTGCAGTCGGGCCTGTCCCTCCACAGGGGGAGTATTCCAAAGTAGTCAGAAAACAGCCTGGGGGCGATTTTCTCCCATATCCTAAGATGGGGTTCTTGTTATTATTTGGACGCCTCCTACTTCTTCTTCCTCTTCTTCTTCTCCTCCCCTCTCCTCCTCATACCCAGACTTACTCATACACAGACTGACTCACACTCAGACTTACTCATACCCAGACTTACTCACACACAAAATTATTCATACTCAGACCTACTCATACTCAGACCTAGTCATACTCAGATTTACTCATGCTGAGACTCACTCATACCCAGACTTACTCATACTCAGGCCTTCTCATTGTCTGACTTACTCTACACACAGCAGGTTGTGAGGATGTCTCAGGCTAGGCGCTGGTTTCAGCACCTCTAAGGGGAGACGCCGAGGGGTATGACACGGTCTCGTTCGCGGCCGTTTTGTGGGGATGTCTGAAGCGGTTTGCTTATTCTCTGTCGCAACATCCTTCGCTTTCGGAGCAGATTTGGAGGATGTCTCGAGAGAGGCGCTCACTTTCACGGCCCTAAGGGGAGCTGCCGAGGGGTATGACACGGTCCCGTTCGCGGCCGCTTTGTGGGGATGTCTCAAGCGGTTTGTTTGTTTTCTGTCGCAACATCTTTCGCTTTCGGAGCAGATTTGGAGGATGTCTCGAGCGAGGCGCTCATTTTCACGCCCCTAAGGGGGGCCGCCGAGGGGTATGACACGGTCCCGTTCGCGGCCGCTCTGTGGGGATGTCTCAAGCGGTTTGCTTATTCTCTGTCGCAACATCCTTCGCTTTCGGAGCAGATTTGGAGGATGTCTCGACCGAGGCGCTCATGTTCACGGCCCTAAGGGGAGCTGTCGAGGGGTATGACACGGTCCCTTTCGCGGCCGTTTTGTGGGGGTGTCTCAAGCGGTTTGCTGGTTTTCTGTCCCAACATCTTTCGTTTCAGGAGCAGATTTGGAGGATGTCTCGAGCGAGGCGCTCATTTTCACCCCCCAGGTGGGCCAGATTTTGAGGATGTCTCGTTCGGTTTGCTTGTGCTGGTAACCAGACTCGTGGGCACAGGTTCTCCTCAGGATGCCACAGGATGCTCCAACAGGCTCCAGGAGGCCCCTGGGGACCACATGAGGTCCCAGGAGGCATCAGGAGGCCACAGAAAGACTCAAGAGGCCACAAGATGTCCCAAGAGGCTCCAGGAGGCCCCAGGAAGCTCCAGGAGGCCTCAGGAGGCCACAGGAGGCCCTAGGAGGCCACAGGAAGCGCCAGGACACTTCGGAAGGCAACAGGAGGCCCCGAGAGGCCACAGGAGCAGGAGGCCTCAGAAGGCAACAGGAGTGGCTCCAATCCCATGTGTTTTACGTATGCTCCTATAGATTGGGCCTCACCTGGAGCACGAATCCTTGACGTTATACGTATGTTTCTATAGATTGTCCTTCTCCTGCGAACACAATCCTACATGGTTTACTTATGTTCCTATATGTTGGGCCTCTCCTGGGGCACGAGTCCTTGGTGCTTTACGTGTGTTCCTATACATTGCCCTTCTCCTCTGGCTCCAATTCGCAATGTTTTATGTACGTCGGTTGCTATAGATTGGGCCTCTCCTGGGGCACGAAGCCTCCCTGGGAGGTCCCAGGAGGCCCCAGGAGGCCTCGAGAGGCTCCTGGAGGCTCCAGGAAGCCCCAGTAGGTTTCGGGAGGCCCCAGGAGGCCCCAGGCTCATGCGCAGAGACGCGCTCGTACCACTGAGGCTCATTCACATTCCAATTCATTCGCAGTTAGATTCATGACCAGGCCGCCACAGCTGAAGCCCGATTAGATTCGAAAGTTCTTGCGCCTAGACGTTCACGGCGGACAGGTCCAGATGCACATTTGGGGAGCTCCACGCAGTGAATAATTCAACCATTTGTTGGAATCTTTTTCTTGTACTTTTGGCTACGCTTTCGTCCCAAATCGGCCTGTAGGGCGGCAGGCCCATTTTAACCGTAACTCTTGATTCCAGTCGGCTCTGACTCTGGCTCCGACCCCGTGCAAGCAAGCAAGCAAGAAGGCCATGCATCCTGAAGGACGCGTGGGCTGGCAAGGACACTCATGGTTCCTGCCGTGATTCGCTGCGACAGGCAATCGGCGCCAGCGCGGATTGGACTAAACAGCCCGAGAGGAGGAGGGAGGAGGGAGGAGAAGGAGGAGGAGGAGGAGGAGGAGGAGGAGGAGGAGGTTGGACTAAACAGCCCGACCCTGTGGCAGTGCCTGAATGGCGCAGCAGCAGCGGGCCTTCGGCGACAGAGGCGGCGACGCGCACGAGCGAGAGAGGGGCCGCCGGAGACAGCTTTCGAGGCTCGTGCCACAGTGGGTCCCCCGTTGTAATGGCGGTGTGGGATTCCTTCGGTGGTTCGCGATAGCTGGGATGTTCTTCGTGGATCTCGGCGTTGCCCAGTCTTCGATCCTGATTGCTTCATTCATCTTCATACTCGGCCTTATCCCGTTGCGGAGTCGGCTCTTCCAGAGGTGGCTGTAGCTGGGTAGTTCAGCACGCCTAGTTGCAGGCTGTGCGGCTCAACGCTGGGGCAAACAAAAAAAAACAGTGGGTCCCCCTTGTAACTGAAAAGGGGGCGTGTGCTCGCAGACCCAGAGATCCAACGTATCGAAAGAATCGGGACGGAGGTTTTTCTCAACGTTCGGCCTCTAGGGGCTCTCGCCGGGCCCCGGGACCGTGAAAAAACGACTCAGGATGAAAAGCCGGTCCTGGGGAATGGGCCGAGAGAGTTCGGGGGACCGCGTGTTGAAAACATCACGACGTCGGATCTCTGGGGAGCTGTCCCCCCGTGTAATGGGTGGCCCGAATCAGAAATAGGACACATCAAAACCAACTGAGACGGATCCCAAGCATTTCGGAACCAATCCCAGCCAATCGGTACCAATTCCAACCATTCTGGAAGTTTTCTTCAGAGGTTCCTTAGACGGTCCTCGGATGTTCCTCGTGATGCGTGAGGATTCTTGGGGGATTTCCTGCATCCTGAGGCTTTGTCCGGCATTCTTGCGATTGCCCATGATTCCTCCGGATTTCCTCAGGACTTCCTCTGGCTGTAACACAGACAATTTGGCTATATGTTGTGCTGTTTCCCGATATCGCCTTTGTAATACGCAATGGTATGCATGATCTTTCGTTGATTTCTCTTTTCCTCATTCTGGCCCTACCCTGCGAATTCTTCCCCATCCTCCTCAGCTCTTTTTGCGGAGCCGCCTCCTTGGAGAGCCTCTTGGGGCCTCATGAACGTTTTCAGGCTATCCTAGGCCCTTCTGGAGGCCTCCTCTGCGCCTTGTGGGGGGCCTCTTGGGACTTCCTTGGGACACCCTGCTTCACACCGAGTCACGATGTGGAATGCTTCGGGGGGCGTCGTGGTGCAATCTTGGGCCGTCACGGGGCTCTCTTCGGCCCATCTTAGAAGCCTGTTGTGCCGTCTTGGGCCTTCCTTGGGCTGCTTGGAAGCCCTCGGGCGGTTTTGAAGCGATGTTCGGCGGTCTCGGACGCCCAGAGACCGAAGAACAGGGCATTCCCAGAGTCATGCAAAAACCTTGGACGAAAATTTTCCCTGCGTTTTGAAAGCCTCCTGGGGGTCTTCTTTGGGTCGTCTTCGGGCGTCTGGTGGGTGTCTGTCTGGGACCGCTTGGGGCCCTCGGGGGGGCTTTCGGCCTCCCTCCTGACCGATTGGGGGGGCTCCCGCGAGCTCTGAACAGCACTTGGGGGGGCCTCCTGCAGGGGCGTCCAGGGAGTCCGGGGGCCATGGATCCGGGGTGGTCCGTTTCGGGGGTGGGGCAGGGTTTCCGCGCGGTCTGGAAGAAGAAGAAGAAGAAGAAGAAAAATAATAAGAAGAAGACTAATACTACGTAGCACCCCGCAGATGCGGATGAGAATGGGCGGTCGTTGGGGACGCCGGCAGTCTGCGAGACTCTGGAGAATCCCGCCGCAGGCGCCAAAATCTACAAATTATACAACGAGCCCGACGCAGGCGACGATTTTTTCGTTAAACTCATGGAGGCAGGTCGCGGGTGGGTCGCAAGTGTGTCGCGGCTGGGTCGCGGCTGGGTCGCAACTGGGTCGCTGCTGGGACGCGGCTGGGTCGCGGCTGGGTCGTTGTTGTGTCGCGGGTGGGTCGCGGGTGGGTCGCAAGTGGGTCTCGGGGTGGGTCGCAGGTGGGTCGCGGATGTGTCGCGGGGTGGGTCGCGGGTAGGTCGCGGGGTTGGTCGCGGGTGGGTCGCAGGTGGGTCGCACGTGGGTCGCACGTGGGTCGTGGGTGCGGTCGCGGGTGGGTCGCGGATGGGTCGCGGGGTGGGTCGCGGGTGGGTCGCGGGGAGGGACGCGGGTGGGTCGTGGGTGGGTCGCGCGTGGGTCGCGGGTGGGTCGCGGGTGAGTCGCGGGTTGGGTCACCGGTGGGTCGCGGGGTGGGTCGCGGGGGGAACGACGATAACAAACAACAAACACGTAACAACGCAACAACGCAACAAGCAGACTCCTCATCACAGATCCCCACTTCAGCCACGCACCCAGGGAAAATGAATGACCGTTCGAACCGTAAAACAAGTTCTTTATACTATGAATAATAAAGGAAGGAATCACAGTAACAGTGATGATGCTGTGAAGATTAATGATAGTAATAGTATGAATGACAGTAATACCTGAGGGAGAAAGAGAGACAGATAGAGAGAGAGACAGAGAAAGTCAGAGAGCGATAGAGAAATAGGGGCACTGTGAGCGAAAGGAAGAGAGAGGGAGGGAGCAGGCGTGGAGGGCGCGCGAAAATTGCAGGGTGTCCACTGGCTTTGTTGTCCTCCACAAGAATACGATTTCATAGGATACGGGTATCATCCTCCTCCTCCTCCTCATCCTGCTCCCTCTCCTCCTCCTCCTCCTCCTCCACCACCTCCTCCTCCTCCTCCTCCTCCTCTTCCTCCTCCTCCTCTTCCTCCTCCCCCGTCCTTCTGCCAGGGTGTTCTTGATGTTTCAGAATGGTGCTCCCGCTGCAGCGCTGGCCTCATTTCAGGACCGGCGTTGTGTTCCCATTGTTCAGGTTGGCGCTCTCGCCCCAGCGCAGGCCACACTGCTGGATCCGGGTGCTTCGTCGTCGTTGTCCCCCCTCCTCTGTGCAGCCCCGCCTTCCCCTGGTCCTCCTGCTCCTTCCGCTCCTCCTTCTCCTGCTCCCGCTGCTGATGTTCCTCATCCGCCGCCTGCTTCCTTATCCTCCACCTTTTCCTGCCGCTCATTTCCCTGCTCATCCGTCACCTTCCTTCTCCCCCTTCCCCTCCAATGTACACAGCCCCTCTTGTGAGCTCGCACATCACGGTGGGCTCATCATGGGAGTTCCAGGTCCGCTATGACACCCGCTGGCGGATAGAACTCAGGGCTATGGGAAAGAATGGGTGGGAGGGGTTGGATGCCAGATGTGTCGCGAGCGCGCCCAGCTTAGCTCCCCCACGCTTTCTCCTCCCCACTCCTGTTCGTCCCCGTCCTTCTGTCCATCCACCGCGCCCGACCCTCATCATCCTTCCTCGTCTGCTGCATGTGTCCCCTTGACGCCGCCTCCCCCCCCCCCGCTTCCCTTCATTCTCTCCTCATCACTTTTCCACCCCTTCCTCTTCCCTCTCCGTTCTTGTTTGTCTCTTCCTCTCCGTATCCGTAATCGTCCCCTTCCTGCTTCACCCAATCGGCGATCCGACTTTGTGGGGCGGGAGACGTAGAGGCAGGCGAAAGCAACAGCAGGAGGAAACTGGAGGACGAAAGAAACAGCGAGGACAAGCTACAACAGGAGTAGAAAGAGAAGGAAGAGGAGGTGTGCGAGCAGGAGGATCAGGAGCAGCAGCAGGAACCGCAGCAGCATGCAGGATGGGCAGGAGCGGCACCAGGGAGAGCACGACGAGATCACAGACGCACACGCCAGCGCTCACATAGGTCATCTTGGGATCATGGCGAGCCGGAAAGTTGGGCCACCCACCACACTTTAGGCGATGCTTAAGAAAACGTAAGTTTTCGGCCAGAGTCTCGTTTATTCTTAACGTTTCAATGTAAATCTTAAGATTTTTATGGAACTGTTGGGTTTTTATTCAAGTTCTGAGACTATGAATTTCTTAACCCATGATTTCTTAAGCATTTCGCAGGGTGCAGCATGCGGCGCGTTCCAGAGAGGCGACAGGCCTCGCGCGCGGCGCGCCCTCGCCGTCCGGCGGACGACTGGGCGGAAGCTGGCGGCAGCACCACGGCGCCGGGCCCGCTGGCGGAAACTGGGGGGAGCTCGGTGGAAGGCAGAGGAGGAGGAGGAGGAGGAGGAGGAAGAGGAGTAGCAGGAGGAGGAGGAGGAGGAGGAGGAGGCTGGAGGAGGAGGAGGAAGAGGAGTAGCAGGAGGAGGAGGAGGAGCAGGAGGAGGAGGGGGAGGAGGAGGGGGAGGAGGAGCTGGAGGAGGAGGAGCTGGAGGAGGAGGAGGCTGCATCAGAGGTGGGCACTCTGATCGTCGCCATTTGTGGATTCAGGGTCTTCAGAGTCGGCCACATCATCCAGGTCGCCCTTACCCAGCTCCGCTCTCGCGCTGTTGCTCGAAGTGCATCGGCCTCTCGCCGGGAGCGGCGCGCCCTCGGATGGACACCTGTGCGACGCCCAGTCACGATTCGTCTGCGCCGGCGTTGGCGCGTACGTTGCCCTCGTAGGGTCGCTCGTAAGCGCCCTGGTCTCCGATGCACCGTTCCGCGCTGGCGGCCCGCCTGGGCTACCGCGTCAGGTCGCTATGTCGTCTCGCGTAAGTTCCGTTGCTGTTTTCGTTTCTCACTTCGCTGCTCCCATCGGAGCCCGCAGAGGGCTGATGAAAAGTCCGGCTGCGAGCGAACGTGCACTGGAAGTACGTCCTGAAGGACGAGTCTCGGCGCTCGTTCGCTGGCTTCTTGCCCAAAGCATTCAGCGAGGCGACTCTCTCTGTCCTTCTCAGTCTCTCTTTATCCCTCTCTCTCTCTCGGTACGTCTCTCGCTTTCTCTTTCTCTCTCTCTCTCTCTCGCTTTTGTTGTTTTCTCTCTCTATATATATCTCTCCCCAGTTATCCGTATTCCTCTCCTGCACTGTCTTTTTCGTGTCTCTCTCTCCTCTCTCTCACACACATTCTCTCTCTGTATGTATATGATATGTGATATTCATGATATATGCATGTACCATATTGTTCATATGTCATATCTCATATATGCATGCATGATATGTAGATACACATATGTATATGTGTATTAATGTATATGCCCCTCCGCCAGATCTATCGTACTGATTGATAAGAGCAGCGTTCCTGCCTTGAGCTTGTGCGTCTAATCTGCGCTGCGGGCTGTCCGGCGAAAGCACGAAAACAAACACATTATATGTTGTTTTGTTTAACTGAGTTCAGGATGCGGGAATGAACGTTAAGAAAGCACACCGCGGTGCCGACGCCCCCTGGGGCTTCCATAGGAATGTAGCAAGACGGGCAATGTATGCGTATGCTTCGAGTTTGTTCCAGGATGTGGGTAGCAACCCTCCGAACACATACCGCGGTACGAACGCTTTCTGGGGAGTCTCGGTGTACACAGTGAGAAGTACAACGGATGTGCACGTGTTGATGTTGTTGCAGGGTGTGTAAGAGAAGGCCGTTTAGGCAATCATCGCGGTGTTTATTCCCTTGTGTGGCTTGCTGGCGAGCCTAAGCAGAGGAAGTATGTGGAAGTTGGTTTCTCGTAGTTTTTATGCTATTGTGTCAGTTTCGGAATACGTTTCAATACATGCAGTTGGTCTCTACATGTGTTCATGATGTTTGCCTTCGGTTCTAGTTCGCAGCATGTGTTGTGCATCCTTCAAGTCGACCAATGCCTTGAACGAAGGCATGGGACGAAGAGGCAAACGGACCTACAGGCTGCAGGGATGCCGACCAACATGTTCATTTCGGGATGGCCCTTTCCCTTTTTGTTGAGTTTGTTGGTGCCTGCGCCCCCTTGCAGCAACTACTGCGCTTGGCGCCTGTCTACCCGCATCCAGAGCAGATGCTGCCGCGTCGCAAGCCAGTCCAGGAGCGATCCTCAAGCGAGATGCCTTGGCGACGGAAGACACCAATCAAGTTCAATCCTGGAGACCCGCGGGCACAGATCTAGCGATAAGCTACACCTGTGGTGCGCATTCAGCGAACGAGCGAAAAAGGGATACCAAACACAACACCAATGGGGGGGATCCAATTCTGGATGTCCCGTCGCCTCTGTTGAGCTCGAAGATTGTTGTGCGTCCTTGCAGCAACATGTGCGTTTGGCCCCACCAGATCCGTCACGTTTTCCCGACCCCCAACAGGTCAACCAGGAAAGATGCTCAATTGGTTATGCTTGAACAGGGCCACCGCCGAAACAAGGTTCGATGGGGAGTGTGCCCATTCAACTTCTAGTGGCACTCGCATGGGGTACATGATGCCTCGGACCCAAACCGTTCAGTAAGTTCGCTGCTCCTGCTCAGTCGATTTGCTGCGTGGGCTCCCCCGCCAGGCTGCCTTCATGGGGGCCTTGGGGTACGACTCAGAATCGCGCGACCAGATGGTCTTCAATACGGCCCAGGATTGCACGACGAAGACTCGCACGATCCAAGCAGGACGCAGTTACAACAACAAAGTAATAATGAAACGCTCGGTCAGAGTTGGTCCGGGGGCGACGTTATATGTTTTGACGTGTTCCCCAAGGAACAATGGGCCACATATCAGACTGCCCAGTCCCTGATCGACGCCAGCCTTGAACAGAAACGCTGCCACGCGCGACCTGCGTGCCGCCAGCGCCAGAAAAGGGGGGCTGGAGGCGTCGCTAAGAATAGAGGCGCCCGCATCGCCAAGTTGGAGGAGCAACGAGCGGAGGTAGGTACTTCGGGCTTCCGGCATCCAGCATAACATGAACGCGGCAAGACAGAGGACGATTTCAAGACGACGGCGGAGGAGAAAGACGCCATCGAGGAGGACTACGAGCAGTTCGGCAACAGGCACAAGCGGTCGATGCAAACCCTTGCCGGCCGAGCGCCGCCAACGCTTTTCAAGCAAGTCGCCAGTGGGAGCGAACGCCACCCGCGCGCCTGCCGCGGTTTGGCGCGGGAATGTGCTATACGTCTGCTTGCGAGGAGGATGCGATCACGTGCTCAAGAAGGGCATTGCGTTATGGCGCAGTCAACGAAACGCCAGACATCGAGGCCGACGGAGTCGAGAGGATGATTGGGGGAAAACGGACAAACAGAAGCCCGCTCAATTGTAGCAGCGGGGAAGCATCGTCGAACGCGGTCGGCCGCGCACCGTGGTGCGGAGTGACGCGCTTCCGAGGTGCTTCTCAGCCTCGCATCCTCGCGATTACGCCCCATCAGTTTTGCGCTGCTCGTCTTAATGCCGGCGTGCGATATCGCCTAGCGCCGGTTCGATTCGGCGATTGCGATCAAATGCGCGCTGACCTGCGCAATGGCGTCGCTAGGCAGCCGACGCGCGATCTCGCTGAGCGCCGACGCGATCAGCCGATTGATATCAGACAAAAGCCGATCGCGAAGATCCACGCCCCGACCGGTCTCCGCTTCGAGACCAGTAGAGGGGCGTCAACGATTGAGGCGCGCCAGACAGAGCGTTGGGCTCCAGGGCCAGAGGCAATTAATCCAGCGGGACGATCCAGGACATCGTGGCGAAGTGCAAAAACAAGATCTGCATTAAGCATTAAGGAGAAGACAGCATGGACGACGCCGAATTGTCGGAGTTGAAGGAGCACGCTCCCCCCGATAAGCAGCGTCTTTTTGTCAAAAAAAGGCGCGCAGATCATCGACCGATTCTGGTCCCATTCGAGGGCGGTTCTCGGCAAACGGTCTCACAAGGTCAACGACATGTTAACTTTGGTGTATCTAGAATCTGCTTAGTAGACGCGCTGGCTGAAAACAAAAGGCCAGGACTTGCGGGTGCAACGTAGACGCACGTTGGCGCTGCAAACGCACGTGAGGTTTCGCGCGCAATAACAGAAGGGGGATGCTGTAATGGGGAAGTAATACTGCGATAAGGAATAGCACAAGGTGTATAAGTGGAACTAGCGCTTTATATATACACGCGGCTTAATACACACTTAAATTTATATTTACACCCACGCTTAACAGTCATCGGACTGATCCAGTCTTGTGGCTGATGTTTTTGACGCTCGAGGTTCTCCTCCCCCTCCCCAGTTTTCCCGCCGCCGGTGATTCTTGATGTTCGGGGCGTTGCTATGAACTTTGCATTGAAAATCAATTATATGGTTTTCTGATAAAAGCAGCCCAACAAATACCCCCCGTTTCGGACAACTTCTACCAACAGAAACCTATAGATAGCAAGCGTTGCATAATTGGTTTGCTAACTATTCGTTGCGGATTCTATTTGTTTTGGTTCGCGGTGTGTTGTTTGCGTCTTCGCTTTGTCGGGCATCTGGCATCCCAAGAGGGCTCACGAGGCCCCCCCGGGCGAGCCCGCGACGGCCCGGCAGTCTTTGAAAGGCCGCTGCGAGGCCCAGTGTTCGACTGCACGTAAGAGGGACCCTTCGGCAGAGTGACCTTTGATGCGGGCTCATCGTGCCCCCCCCCTGTCGGCGAGCGCGATGCGATTCTATAAGCGGTCCGCGCCCTTGGGTTTGGCCCCCTCGCGCCCCCAGAAGCTGCGCACCCAGGGTCACTCTTACCCAGGGCCACTCTTACGCCCAGCCGAAGTGCGGCCCCAACTACCCCCGCGAAGTGCCCTGCGCGCCCGCGGTGCCCCCCCCCCCCCCCCCCCTTAGCGCGGCCCTCAAGGCGCCAAGGATGCCCCCCAAAGGCGCCCCATGGCGCCCTGCCGGCCCCCCGTGGATGCTCCGAGAAGGACCCCAGAGGAGCCCAATGGCGCCTGGCATTGTGGAGGAGGATCAATGGGAAAAAACACATTGCCAAGTAATTGCCAGATGTCCAGGACATGTGTTCAAACTGGTTCGAACATGTAAAACACATGCTTGAAACATTTTCGTGGCTTGTCCCCGACACATGTTTAATTCGATGATTGGCCTGTTAGCGTGTGCATTGTCGTGGCATCCACAAGCCTGGCAGGCCCCCCGTGGAAGCTCCGAGAGGGACCCAAGAGGAACCCAACGAGTGACTCCAGAGGCAAAAAGGCCTGCACTGTCTTGTTCTCGCTCGCGCCTCGTCGTGGACCTTCTAGTGCTGCGCATGTCCTTGCTGCTCTTGCTGCTCGCGTGTTTTTCCTTTTTCCGCCAGTTCCATGTTATCCTCCCTCCCTCCCTCCCTCCCTCCTTCTTCCTTCTCCTTCCTTATTTCATTCCTTATATCCCTCCCCCCCTCCCTCATATTATCCCTCCTTGTATCCTTCTTCTCTCCCTCCTTCCTCCTCCCTCCCCCCTTGCTCGCGCCCTGAACGCGCCCCTGCATGCTCCTCCCGTTTTCACTCGGCCTCTCTCCTGACCCCCGCTAGCCCTCCCTCGTCAGTCCGCCGTTTCTTGCGCTCCTGGCGTTGTCGCGGCCTGCCTCCGCGATCCGCGCGCGCCCACTGCACTCCAGAGCTCCGCTCTTTCCTCGCTCCGCTGGCTCCCCTCCAGGATGCCCGACGCAGGTGCGCCTCGTGTAACGTTGGGTCCCTCCTTCCATTTGCTTTCCTTCGCTTTTCCTTTTCCTCTCCCCTTCGCCCTTCCCCTTGCCTGGCCCCCGCGCACGTCGTCATTTCGCCGCCCTGTCCTTCCCTCCTTTCCTGCGTGACCTTCTTGAATCTCATCTTCGCGACCTTGTCCGGCACTCCCCGAAGCCCTTTCCCAAAACATCAGAGCGAGTGAAGGGCAACCGAAAAGAAGGTGGATGAACGCAAAAGGAAACGGGGAATGAGCGGAGGATGACACGACGACGGCGCGAAGAAACAATGCGAAGGTAAAGTGGAACATTTCGCTGGGCGGA